AAATTTTGGGCCCGGAAGGCCCTGTTTCCCTATACCCTCTCCTTAACTCGTCTCGGGTGTCAGCGCCGCAGGCCTAGCTATGTGTGCGCCAGGCGCGTCGCAGCGTAACAGTGTTTCGTGATATATCGCGAAGCCTGTTACGCGAGACGTGGTCTGGCGTACATATAGCTAGTTACGTACGTTTAACTGGACAAGGAAGGGATCGTCCAGAAAGTACGTCCTTTTTTTCTCAGATTCATTCGTCAAATCACGGGAGCTCGCTGCCTGCGTGACGCCGGGTAGGCCACTCCGCAGTACACGCACGCGCTGCAGCCAAGACGTTGCCTTGCTACCGGGCGCTATGGCAGCAACAGACGCTGAACTTAGCAGTTTCGTTACGGTGAATGACTGACGTACTCTCTGGACGTTCGCTAACGTGTGTGACTCACTCAAATGGATGGTCATCTGGGTACATGTTGAGGGTGGCGAAGTCCTTCCTTAAGCTAGTTTGAGCCATGTGCAGGAAGTCCTTTGCCTTTCCGGACTGGCTGTAGGCTGCCTTGGCTCGCTTGATGTCGTCATCTTCTGCACAGACTCTTTCGGGGAACCTCTCCACCCTCGACCGTCACCGGTTTTCTCCCGTCCCGGTGGCATGATCGTACCTATCGTACAAGTCTTTTTCTAGATCTCTGATGATACCTGTAACAGAATGCAAAATAAATTGTAGAAAAACGCCGTAATTGTACAAAGTTATTTTGAAAATTCAATTCACTTACGGAGGGTGTTGAGAAAGGTCGGGCGGGCAGTCCTCACCCTGTTACCTTGCGGTTTATGCTCTCCAGGCCACTGGTGCACGTGACCTGCTTATTGAACACCGACCACTCCGCTAAATCTTCCATGTCCTTGTTGATCCATTGCTTCCACAAGTACCGTCGAAATTTATGGCACTTTGTTCTGTCCGGGAGGTTTTCGGCCAGATGTTTGACGTAGGCGTATCCTTCCTTAACCGCGGCCGCTGGGAGGCGCACCAGCAAAGAGCAAACCCAGAGGAAATGCGACACTTTGCAAGTGTTTGCTGTCTTCTTCAAAGTAGTCCAAAATTTTCCGAGTCCAAGCTTTTTGGCTTTTCTGTGCAAACACTGTAATAAAAAAAGGATAAAGGTTATATTTTTAAAAAGCACTTGAATAAAATAGATGTTTGACCTGCCAACAGTGGACTACAAATATTTTGTTACTGGAATAACTTCCATGAGAAATGTAAATGTACGAATTCAATTTCAAAGCCTTTACTGGTCAGGGAAGTCAAAGAACCGAAAGTCATGATAAAGCCAGGAAAATTTAATTTGGGTGAGGGAAAATTTTTGAGTGAAAGCAAATGCTGCAAATGTAGCAATTGCCTTAATTTTGCGTATTGTTTTTACTGCATTGAATGTATAATATCCTGAACTTTGGAGAGAAAGAACAAAAACTGATGCACATAATAATGTCCCGTTTGGTTTACAGATTCTTTAGGAAAGTACATTCCACTACGTACCATTTCGGAATAGGGTGTTCCAGGCTATCTTAAACGGAAGTGAAAAAGAACAAACTCACTGATTTCTCTGTTTCCGTCTACTTAGTATGAGAAATTACCATGGTAGTTTGGTCCGATTCTAACCTCTTAAATATGGAGGGGGGTTCGAAACTGATCTGACAGTTTTTCATACCTCAAAGGCTGTCGTGGCACGTGATCAGCTCGACCAATCAGAGCCATTACGGAAACAGAAAAGTCAGTGAGTTTGTTCTTTTCCTACTTCCGTTTTAGATAGCCTGGAATACCCTATTGGAAAATCAGGAGAGGGAGGAATCGAAGATCGCAACAAAACGGCCTCAACTTTCTTCTCCTCAACCAATTACGACCCACCCGCTGTAGCACAAGCACTGTCGTCAACCAGCCTTCAAACTTCAATAGGGTGTTCCAGGCTACGTAGAACGGAAGAGAAAAAGAACAAACCTACCGATTAATCTGTTGCCGTCTGCTCAGTATGATAAATTGGTATGGTAGTTTGGTCCGATTCTAACCTCTCAAATATGGAGGCGAGCTCGAAACTGACCTGACAGTTTTTCATACCTGAAACGCCGTCGTTATACGTGATCAGCTCAACCAATCAGAGCCTTTACGGAAACAGAAAAGTCAGTGAGTTTGATCTCTTCCTACTTCCGTTTTGAATAGCCTGGAATACCCTATTGGAATTGGTAAATAACTATTATCAGAACTTCATGGGGGAAGAATTTGAAGCAGCCATAAGTATGCACAATTCGTATGTATAATAGACCCTATTCGGTCTCGGCTCGGAGAGAAGAAAACAGGAAAAGTTTCATTCTGTTTGTTTGTCTGTTTGTTTGTCCATCTGTCCGCACGATAACTCGAGAACGAATAGGGTATTTCGGGTAAGCGAACCAGCGGAAACGGAACGGCCGAGCGGCTGCTGGACCCGTCTCAGCCTGCGAACTGCGCATGCGCAGTAGACTCTGCCAAGCCCCGCCGCCTCCCTCTCTCCCCCGCGCCCGCGCATCAGCAGCAGAGATGCAACCAGCGGTGAACTGGCCGGTTCCGTTTCCGCCGCTCCGCTTACCCGAAATACCCTATAGGGTATTGGTCTAGAGCGCTGAGCGGAAGTTGAAGAACAAAAACGGAAGGTGGAAAGGCGCCCGGGCCGACCCCCTCTCCTCCACGGGGCGGAGTGGGGGAGCGCCCGGGGAGAAGTGGAGGGCAGGCGGGGAGGAGTGCGGGCGCCTTTCCGTCTTCCGTTTTTGTTCTTCTACTTCCGCTCAGCGCTCTAGACCAATACCCTATTGACCTACCGACCTGGGGTTTTCAGTTGTCATAGAAAGACAAATCGCGCTCGGAGGATAGCATTCTATCTCAAAAATTAGATTTTTAATTGGGTATTTCACCTGACGCAACCCGGATCCAAAAAAGAACGAGTTCTTCCTGAACTCTTTCCTCCCTTGCTCTGATTGGCTGACGCCGACGAAGTTCATGAACTGCCCGCAAGGGCGGTCGACCCCTAGTGTCGGGTCCGAGAACTTCGTCGGCATCGTCCAATGAGCGCCAAGGAGGAAAGAGTTCAGGAAGAATTCTTGTTCTTCTTTGGATCCGGTTTGCGTCAGGTGAAATACCCTATTGAGCATAATCATTAGGACCCCCTAAAGCCGTTTTCTGAAAATATTCTTCTACTGGTTTCTGGTGAGGTAGCTCATCAAAGTAGAGCCCTGTGGGCGAAAATTTTGTCCGTTTTGCTCTAGCTCATACTGTTGCAGCGCTAGAGAGTATTTCTTTTGGCAAAAATAAGCGAAAAAATTACAACCCTGCACGCTGCACGAAAATGGCCCGTAGCTTTTGTGTTCATTTTTTCTTCACTCGACTCGGGTGTCAGCGCCGCGCAGGCCTAGGTAGATGTGTGCCAGGCGCGTCGCAGCGTAACAGTGATTCGTGAGATATCGCGAAGCCTGTTACGCGAGACGTGGTCTGGCGTACATCAACCTAGTAGAAGTGTGTACGGAAATACGGCCTTTCGGTCCCCAATTTTGACATGCTGACACCGTTTGTCGGAGACTTAAAGGCTGAGTGACTATCGAAGAACTGTATTGATCTCCAGACCACTAGCTTAAAAATTGACCTGTCAAAAAAATCAAGAGCAAAACACCCAAAATATTTTTAAAAAAAGATATCTCGTGACATGTTTCAAAGAGGTATCTCGTCAAGGTAGAACAGGGTACTCCGGGGCTCGACTAGACCGGAAGGAGAAGAACAAAAATCGTCGCGCGCGGGGAGGAGCGGGGCAGGGTGGGGGCAGTACCCCGCTCCTCCCTGCGCCCGACCGCCCCGACGATTTTTGTTCTTCTCCTTCTGGTCTAGTCGAGCCCCGGAGTACCCTATGCGAGGAGGAAGAAGACGGATATCGCTATGCTTTTACATGGTGACTCCCGTTTTCTTGTTCCCTGCATTCTTCTGCATTTCAGATTCAGATTGGTTTGCCAATAAAGCATTCCGATAAGGATGAAATGCAGAAGAATGCAAGTCCCATGTAAAAGCATAGTGATTTCCGTTTTCTTATTCCCTGTATTCTTCCTTATTCTTGCTTTACCGGAATGCTTTATTTTATTTTGAATCACCCTATAGGCCAGCCATCTACCACACCTGGACCTGCCTTACCCGGCTGCCAAGAGGTGGCGCCACCTGGGAGAGTGAGAGAGACAGAGGCCGGCCAGGCCACCCGGCGCGCCTTCAGTCGTAAGTTCACGGGCGGAGCATGCGGACCAGACCGACCTGGGGACGTGACACGTCGGCCTCGTTTCAGGCACAGCGTTGTTTATTGTCGTCACACGCTTACTTCAATGTTCGGATTTTCGCCGACGAGGCTCCTGTTTGGCTTAGAATGCGTTCGGGCCCATCACGTGGCCTTTTCCGAACGGTGAAGTAATAGTGGGCCGACCGGGCCGACTACACACTGTAGCACTCTGCTGCAGTTGACCACCATGGATTGGATTTCTTATATCAAAGCAAGCCCGCAAGGACCGCCGTCCCCGCCCCTCATTCTACAGGCTGTCCGAAGTTTGTTTATGTTGTACTGATCAGCTGCAGCTGCACGGTACAGGGCTGCGGTCGCCGAGGCTGCCGGTGGGCCCAACACCGACAGGCCGTTCTACTCGGCTACCTCATCTCGGCCGCCGACGCCGAGGGGTCCTTTACTATAAATTCTAGCGTCCACCGATGTTATTTTTTTTTCTAAGTTTTTGGTCATATTTACTGAATGAAGCATTCTGGTAGAGCTGAAATGCAGAAGAATGCAGGGAACAAGAAAACGGAAGTCACCATGTTAAAGCATAGCGATTTCCGGTTTCTTCTCACCCGCATTCTTCTGCTTTTCAGCTTCACCGGAATGCTATATTTCCTTTGATTTTTGGTGATTTTTTCATGATTATTTATGAGTTTAAGTGAGTTTTTATGATTATTTCTATGGGTATGCACTGATTTTTCTGAGTGAAGGACCCTTCGGTCGTCGCACACGCCGTGCTGCCTCAGCGCCGTGCCACTTCCGAGCGCCCTCTTCCCCCTAACCCTTTTAAGATCAGCTGGAGTAAAGTGCTGTCGTGACGTTTGTGTCACTGTGATCTGATGTACAACTTCAACATGAGGTGGTTGAGCTTTTGCTGTTTGTTGCTAAAAGAGGCCAGCGTATCAAGGAAACGTGCAAGTGGATGATTGTGTGTCGGTGGTGGCGCCGCCCCCGCGCACTCGTTGAGCAGCCTGCGCAGGGATCATTCTGGTGAGTTAATATAGCATTCCGGTAGAGCTAAAATACAGAAGAATGCGAGGAACAAGAAAATGGAAATCACTGTGCTTTTCAATGGAACTTCCGTTTTCTTGTTCCCTGCATTCTTCTGCATTTCAGCATTACCGGAATGATTCATTTGCTTCTTTTAACTAGGGTGGGCCCAGTTTGGATAAAGCATTCCGGTGAAGCTGAAATGCAGAAGAATGCGGGGAAGAAAACGGAAATCGCCATGCCATAACACGGTACCTCCGTTTTCTTGGTGCATGCATTCTTTTGCATTTCAGCTTTACCGGAATGCTTTATTTATGATCTTCGTATTTACTTAAAAACAATGATTTTTTTTTTGACACCCTCACTGTCCGGGGAGTCAAATGAATCACTTTAGGGTTTGTATTTACAGTGTACTTATGTATGAGTAGACTAGGTAGATGCACGCCAAACCACTTCTCGCGTAACAGGCTTCGCGATGGTTCACGGAACACTGTTACGTTGCGACGCGCCTGGCGCACATCTACCTAGGCCTGACACCCAAATCGGGCAAAGAACCTAAAAAGCATTCCGGTAAAGCTGAAATGCAGAAGAATGCGGGCTAGA